TTTAATTTAATTAGCATTGTTGTCCAACAACATTAATTATGCCCAGCCTTGTAATGTTTCACAGGAGGTGATACACTTGAGCTTTGTTTGCTGGGGTTGACTGAGGACAACTGTGTCCACTGGTGTAGAATCCAGCCTTTGTGCTCTGCAAAAACCTTCAAATTTGGTATCTGACAGTAGCCTGGAGTAAGCAGTAGCCTGAATAGCCTGCATTGCAATCTACTGAACAAAGAGTATCTCTGGGAGAATGATGATTCCATGTACATGTTTCCACTCTTTTTGAAGAGGGACTGTTTTAGTGGAAGTAATCATCTCCTGCAATTTTGTATTATTTCCAGTCTGTTTTAAATTGTTTCATAGAGAATAAAGAACTTTGTTTACTGTCTTAGAGTAGGATGTCTGATCCTCCTGGGGGAGGTTATTCTTTTATTAAAAAAAAAGATAAAATATCTACTTTGATGGAAATATAACTCTAGGAATTGAAATGGTGATGATTATAGAAGCTGTAGTATTCTAATGCAAAATAAGCCCTAGGAGATACGTGCCCTAAATGGTAAATCACTGTTTTTTAACAAAACAAGAATTACAGTTATTTTATGATTCTTGCTTATTTTACAAGGTCTTTAGCTGTTTCATCTGCACTTAACTTTTACAGGCTAGGGATAAATTGATTGTTGTTTTGCTTTTTAAATAGCTTGGCTGCTTTAAAGCATGCTGGAGATGCAAGCACAGATCAACAGGATAGGATTAGTTTGGTGCTCAGAGAGGCAGGGAGAAAAGCCATGACTACTGACACAGTATGCAGTAACTTGTAGTTTATGGGGTTTTGTGATCTTCTTGGAAGGAGACAAAGATGATGATACGAAAGGGACCTCACGGGTAGTGCTTAGCAAATTTGAGGAGACAAACACATTTCATGGTGGTATTACAAGACTTCCTGCTGCCATTTTAGAGGGGCTGTGGGGATCCTTCAGGGCCTTCAGAATGCTGATAGACCTCAGTGGCCCTTCATATGAGGCTTCTGCGCAGACACCTGGGAGCTCTATCTAAGTTCAGCCCTGAGCCTTCAGTCCATTCTTGGGTGATGCTGGAGAGGAATACTGGTCTCCAGCTGAGCTACAGCCATGCCTGTGCCTGGCTATGGACCCTATTGATTCTGACCCCCACTGGCAGACTGGCTTCCCAGCCTGACCTCAGACCTGCCCTGCCGCACTGGACCTGATCCTAACCCTGACCTTCAGATATGCTTCCTAGGTTGACCTTGAGGCCTCCCTCATCACTGGGATACATTGCTTCTTGATGTAGGGCCTGGCTGCCATTTCAGGTCTGTCCTGCTGGCCTTGCTCAGGTGCTGTGGAAATGGGGCCCAGCCAGCGAGGCCTCTGCCCAGCCGGCCGAAGGATCCCCCGCAGCACATCCCTCAGGGAGCTGCTGGAGAGCTGCTGGCCCTGCATGCTCCCAGTGACGTGATTTCTGTAGTCTGGCCTCGAGTGTTTCAAGGGGACAGTCTGTGGAGGAGGGGGGAGCCAGCCTTCAGGAGCTGTCAAGGATCCTGATGGTCTCCTATTGAAGACAACTGGAAAGAAGCTCCCTTTAGATTTGGTTGTCTTGGATGCTCAGCTGATGACAGTGGTTGTTGTGTTATGGCAGAGCTTTCTTGTGCTGGGGAACACACCCTTCTTTGATAGTAGTGAAGCACCATGGCACCTTGGCAAGTGAAATAGGAGAAAAGAAATTGTCTTGTCGCCTTTGTTAGTATTCAGAGCCCCCAGCAAGGTAAGTGAATTAGTGTTCTAAACTAGAATCACCATCCTCTAGCAGGCAGGGAACTACTGGTAGGATTATTAATTAGAGGTGTTGTGTTCCAGCTTAGTACTTGTGTTTTACTTTCAGTAATTACTCTTACCTGCCAAATGTTTGCAATTTGAGATGCTGAGATGTATTTAGCAAAAGAATGTCCTAAATACTGACTTAGCTGAGCACAGAGGAAGGTAGTTGAAAGGGGTAATGTGTCCCAGTTTCTGCAATTTGTGATGACCTAAAATCCTTAATGATGGAAACTGAGAACAGGTAATAATCTTTACAACTTTTCTACATTAATGTTAGCTTGCAGAAACTCCATGTTAGTGATGTAGAGAAAATACTGGTTTGGGAGATCAAAGAACCACCTTTTTAAGCTAATTCAGGGAGTAAAATGGATTTTATGCTGTCCTCTTTGCACACTGCATTCCTCAGTAGCTTACATAGTAAGGACACAAGAAGATGCAGTCTGGTTAGCTCTCTTGATGAGAGATCTGCCTTGAACCTAGCAAGCTTTTATTCTTTATGATGCTTAGGACAGTCCCATGCTAACAATTGCTTGCTTGTGTAGGAATGCAGATCTGTTCCATATATCCCCAAATCTTCATTTTAGAAGCAGCCAGAGGATAAAAAGTAGCACAGTGCTCATTTAAAGTCAATATGCTCTAGTTTGCAATTTGCTCATGTTTAAGTGCTCAGCTTTAAAGGTTCCCTTTGCCCACAGGCAGCCTGAATACAAAGGGAGACTTTTTTTTTTTCTAACAAAGAAAAAGTTTTCCAAAAGCTTAAAGAGCAAAATATTTCTTTCCACCTTCTATCTTCTCAGATTTCTTACCACAAAGCAGAGTTTGCCTCTGAACAATCTATAGGGGAACGAAGAGATAATTTGTGCGGTCACCTCAATGCAGCCAGAAATGAGAAAGATGGATACAATGTGTGTGTGTGTGTACATGTGTGAGAGCAGTGAGAACCTCACTTTAAATCAGTTTTGGCATGTGGTGCCTTGGAGATGACAAGGAGGCTTACAGGGATAAGGCCTAATGGAAAAAAATCTCAACACGTAGCTGGTTTCTTTGCTGTTGGCAAGGCTTGGGTTGCATGAAGATGAATAAAGTTCTGATGCTTTACTTGATACAGCATCATGTGTGTGTTTGAGTTCAGTGGGAAGCTTTACTGTGGCTTGGAGAAAAGAGAGCTGGAATACAGTATCTTCAAGAAAAAGTGAAGGGATTAATGTTTTAGTCCCAGGAGATAGTTTCCCTTCTGAAGCTGTGGACAGAAGACACAATGTGATGTCTGAACCCTACCATAAGGAGATTCACTGTGTATCACAAGTTAATGGCTGTAATGATTAAGTACTGCAAACTGGTAGGAGTGATTTTTTTTCTTTAGGATTCCAGAAGCCTTATTCCCTCTCTTATTCTGCAGTGTGAGTTATTCTGTGGTTTCAGTAGAAGTGGGAGTGGTGTTTGCTGATATCACCTCTGCTGATCTAGCTATGTGTGATCTTTGAAAGCTCTCCATGCTGCGTTTTGACTGGGATGACTGCCTGAGGCCTATTGTCATGGTGTTAGTTAATATTAGCACTTACCTGAAAATGAAAGTGCTTTCCTTACTGAAGTCCAAGTTCCAGAATGTCAGAATACAGCTGTAAATAGAGGGAACTGAACAGGAGCATCCCAGCTTGTTTCAAAGGAGAGTGTAGGTCACACAAGGCTTAAATGATGCTCTTCCCTGTGGAGCTTCATGAGACCTCGGTACCCTGCTCCTGCTCAGCAGCATAAGGTCACTTGGAAGGATGCTGTCCTTCAGGGCTTGCACAAAACAAGGCACAGCCAAAGGGGAAGTCTGGAGTTCCTTGCTGAGGTGAAATGAAGTTTTTCTAAATAAAATACTGTAAAATAAAAGGTCGTGGTTCGCTTGTGTTGAAGCTGCTTGTAGGTAGAGAATGTTGAACCCTGTATGTCATTAGCCTCAGCACCTGCATGGCAACAGTTTCATCTCAGTTGTTTTGTAGGTCTGTGATGTGATGGTTTACTGAATTTGCCCATTGCCTTTTCTTTAGGGCAAGTGTGTTCACTTTCCAATTTAGGACTCTGTGTCATTTGGTTTTTTTAATATGGGGAAAGTAAGTGTGTCTGTGTGTATGTTCCTTAATAAAGATTGTTCTTTGTGTGCATGTTTGACAAAATATGCAAATAGCAGCCCAGCTTGGGCTTCGTGGCCTGTGTAGCCCAATACCTTCAGAGCTTATAATGCAATGAACAGTCTGTCATTTCATTCTACATAGTTGAGGATTCATAATGCTGGGGAAATATTTTATTTCTCAGTATGTAAGCTGATTGCTTATCGGCTGCTTGCTGTGAAACCTCTGAAATACATACATCTACCAAAGGGGAGCTTCTCTGATTTCTCTGCTGAGACACAATTGTGTAAGAAAAGGAAAGTTCGTGTTAGTGCTGGCGAGAAGCAGAAACATTCTCTTTGGGCAGTATCCCTGCAAGAACTGGCCTTTGATCTGCTTGCTTTCTGTTGCTCTATGTTGTCTGTTATAAATTTTAAACAAGCTTGTAACCAGTTATATCTTAGGGATTCAGGGAAGAGAAGACATCAGAAGGGGTAGTATTTCACGTAAGTCAGCGATTACTCTCTAGCTATCTAATTTTTTAAATTATCACTGCTTTGGACAGTTTGAGAAATGTCAGTTTAATAGTAGGTCTTGATGCTTTACAGCCTTCTGTAGTCTGTAACTGAGTGTATTTTATCAAATGGAAATCGACTTTTAATGGTGTGGAAGAAGAACTGCTCTGAAAGCCAATGGTCCTCTTCACTGCAGAACAGAATGAATCTTTTTCCAAACAAAAATTCCCCTACTCCTACATGGGGCAATGAAGGGAAAGCTTAAAGCAGGGTTAAATAAAGGCAGTAGTCTGTTAGTCTGTAGTAGGTTGCCTATAGATATAAAGTCCTTGATAGATGCTTCACATGATTTCCACTTACTGAGCTGAGCCCAGTTATACCAGCATAGCTGCAGCATGCTTTTTTTGAGGCAGTAAATACTTTTCCCTCTGAATCTCTACTTGCAAGTTGTTGGGTAAAATGCATATTGCAATTGAGGAAGCTGAAATCAATAGAACAGTTTTGCCACGATGGTAGAAGTAAAAAGTTAATGTTCTTTTTACCTGTTTCTTTAGGAACAAAGCCCCAGTAATCAGACATCAATAGCAATGATGCAAGAGCCTCAAGAAATGGTGGAAGAGACAGTTACTGTGGAGGAAGATCCAGGCACTCCCACTTCCCATGTGTCTGTCGTGACTTCTGAAGATGGAACCACGAGGAGAACTGAAACCAAGGTGAGAGGTTAATAACCAATGAGGAAAATGGCAAAACATGACTTAATCACAAAATAAATATAGCAGGGAGTAGCATTTTAAGATTTACTTTATTGTACTGAAACAGTTAACAGCATTGCCTTGCAAACACATATGGTGATAAAAGAAGTAGGTGAGCTGATAGGGTTTGGAGTAGAATACTCATGCAGCTGAGGAAAATGTGCTTGGAAAGAAGTCTTCAAATTAGTTATGATCTATAATAACGGTGTGTGGTTATGTGTTTGTCCTTCAGAACAGGAAACATTTAAATAACACCATAGCATTTAAATTCTGCAACAATCTTGTGAATGGAATTTTTCTCCTGATGCATGGGGAAAACTGGCTGTGTTCTGAAGTGACCTGTACCTCAAGTTTGGCTGTATTACACATGTTGTTGTATATGTTCTGAATTTCCTGATGTTTTTTTGTTCCGTTGTGTGAGATAACTTTGCAGTCTCTGAGCAGGTGCTGTGTTCATGGCTGCCTTGTGTGGTTTCTGGTACCACTAGAACATCAATGTGCCTTGTCATTTGGGTCTTGGAAGTTGAGCTGAAATCTGTTAGGTGTTGGTCTTGTGAAAGATTGAGTGATTCCCTTTGTAAAAACTTACAAACAGCACTGATTAAAATAAGAGACTGTCCAACTGCTTGCTGTGTATAAAGGAGTTGAACAGAGATCACTGAATGTATTGGTGTTTATTTTCACTGGCATTCCAGAATTACAGTCCTCTAAGATACCTATTCCAGATGTCAGATCCTCAAGTTGAAGTAAATGAACACTTATTTCTTGAGGTCAGTAAGTCTGCACACATTATTATAAATGGAGTATCTGGTTTATTATTTGTTTCAGTTAGAAGTTAAGTATAACTGTTTTAGTTTCTCATTGTTGGAAGGAGCTGAAGGTCTTAAAATAAAACTAACAAAGAAATATAGCATCTTCATTAGCTCTTCAAATAATCTCAGGTATTTAGTCTCTGACTTAATTGAAAGAAGTGTTGTTTTCTTTCTAGCAGCAGCAACAACTGTTATTTACAGGAAGGAAATGATAAAATTACTGTGGTGATGGACACCTTTTTATACGCACTAGGAGCAGTGCATAGTTGTAGGAGATTGTAAGTGCAGATATGCAAGGGAACAAAGTGATAGCTACGACTGTAAAAAGAGAGGAGAGGCCATGCAGTGGTCTCTAGATAACAGGACCACACGGAATGAAATAGTTTGCCTGAAATAGTCATGCCACTGATAAAGCTGCATGTTTGTCATAGCATAAAAGGTGCAATTTTTTCCTAGGTGCAGTGTACCTGCTATTTTTCTGTCTTCCCACAGAAAAGGACAGTGGCATCTCCAAAACAAGCATTGTATCTGCCTGTACGG